TGATTTAGTGACCTGGTCATAAAAGGCCACCAGGTTGGTGAACTCCACTGAAGTCAATGAAGGCATTCATTACAACAACAGCTAAATGTAACCTATTTTTTGCTGCCATCTTTACCTTGATTTGTAAAGATAGATAACACCTCTACAGAGGGGGGTAGACTAGTAAGAAAGTTTTTAAACAATTACTTGTTAAAACAGGTTTAAAACAATTCTTGTTTTAAAATGCAACTGAAAACAAAGCCAGGAGACTAGGTGTACATTTTCAAAAGTGATAAGCACTTTGGATATGCAACTTAAAAAAGCAAAGAGGGCCTGATTTTCCCAATGCTCTAGGCTTCTAAGAGCACAATACATCTCAAATGTATCAGTCAAACAATGAAACATCCAAAACCAGTAGCCATTTCTGAAAATGTAGAGTTTTCTCTGCCAGCTAATTTAAAAAGAAGGTGTGTTGGCATACAGAAGATTGGATAAATGGAAAAGATAGAAAGAAAGGTGACAAAACACTGATTTGAGGTAAATAATACTTTGCAGTTCTGTAACACTTACATTGCAAATTAGCTTAATCAAATATTACATTTCCAAAATGATATGCTATTCTTTCCATATGAGTTCGGTCCTAAATAGATGCTACTACTCTTCTATCTAAACGAAAATGTTTATTTTAGTTAGGGATAAGGGATGGAATCAAACTGTTTTTTTTCACTTTCACTTCTATCAGTTTCTGTTTCTGTATTTACATAAAACACATGTACAAATACATGCATACAGAAATCCAAAAGTACCATTTTAGCAGGGATCCATCTGAGCCCCGCACTTACCAGGGCAATGACTGCCGGCGTGCTCCACAGGCAGCGTACTCCTGCTTGGCCCGGAAGAAGAGCAGCGAGTCCATGAGCTAATAGCACACTCTTTCTGGTGGGACAGACAGCTGGCAGGCAGCATGCTCTCCACAGACCCATTTCCCAGGCCAGAATGAGAGCCAGAAGCTGGGCTCCACAGGGGCCCAGGCTCCACAGAGGCCTGGGACTCCAGGCCCAACCTGGAACTTCCTGCATAAGGCACCATCGGCTGCAGAAAAGGGGGAACACCGGTGTAGGCATTGGCCCACATCACATCCCACCACCAGCAGACCCAAGGACCTGCACTTGAAGACCAGGCTGATGACAGCTCTTCCTGCAGAACCCTGACCATCATGCAGTCACTGGAGATCAAGTACCTTTAGGGGCTCCATGGGGGTTCATGATACCCGTGGCCCCAGGCTACCTGAAGGGCTTGGCTCGAGACAAGATTGGGCTCATAATGGGATGAACCCATAAGATTGGGAGAAATTCTAGCTTCCTTCCCCTGTTTGCAAACATAGGGGGGCCCAACCCAAGAGCATCAAACCACAGACAATAAGTGAGTCGCTGGCAAGTAAAAAGAGGTGAAGTCATTATTTTGGTGCAGCACAAGGGGCTAAAATTCCCTGATATAATAGTGAGTCACTTCTAAAAAGCTTTCAGTTAGTTACACACCAAACCATTAACTTTTTAATAAAAACAAGTATTTTAAGTAGTTTGTAAGTTTTATACCATTGTCCTGATATATATTTTTGAAGATATTTGTAAATCAACAATTCTCTGATCATAAACTACTTGTGGGTTCCACAAGTTGTATGCAGGTAAAAAGGATTTTCCTTCAATTACAAAATATAATGTCTTTAAATGCTGCTGTTCATATACTAAGAGAAAGATGAACAGAAATACTAATTTACTTTTTATAATTAATTCTTTTTTATGTTTCTGTAATGTCTCTTTTTCTTCTCCCATCTAAGCAATCTATCACTTTCTAAAAGTGGAAGCCTTTCATAGGTCATCCATTTGTGAATACCTGTTAATTATATTTTATAGCATTCTCATACTTTAACACAATATTGCAAGTGAAGATGCATTTTTAAGGAATTATAATATTTTCCATACTATTTTCTCTGCCCTTTCTCACACATCCTAAGAGTTCGTTTGTTTTTTACACCCCCTTTCATTTTTAACATTGGCTTTCAGTGAGCCCAGATATTTGTCCTGAGTAGTTAATTTAGAACACAGCAATGTGCATTAATAGTTTAAGTTATTTCTTCCAATATGAATTATTTGTATTTGTCAACACCAAATTTAATATGCAGTCTTGCTTCATGGTCACTAAGGTTTACTATCTCTCTCTGTTTTTACATTTACTTCTCTATCTTTCTTGTACCATCATCCACAAATTTTGCCATCTCAGTGTGGAGCCTGTTTTGCTTCACAAACACGATAATACCTCCTAAAAATATCCCACTGTCCTTGAAGTCCTGTTAAGATGCTCGCATGCCTTATGTGTCAATATCCAGAATGCTTTGATGTAAAAGCCATTTGTACATAGTTGTTGATATTTAAAGTCTGAGAAAAAATAAAGCCATCTTTTAGCCATATTTGTATAAGCACTGGATTCTTTTTAAAGTCTGATTCGTGAGCAAAACTGATGATCATCTACTTATAGACTATGGCCAACATTCTGAAAGATGGGTGCTTAAATGTAGGCACTGATTGAGCTCTGATTGTCAGAGGCACTGGGCAAACCCAACTCCCATTTTCTTTACACATACAAGTTTGAAAATGTTGATTTGGACCTGTGAATGAGAATCAAGTGAAATGCAGTCAAGGTTCTTTGAGTAGATGCCCATGGTGGGCAACTCCCTCCTGAGAGGCACACAGGGACCTATCTGTCAACCGGATCCCACGGCATGGGATAAACGCTGCCTACCCAGAGCCAAGATCCAGGACAGGCAAGGATTCCAGACCTCATCCAGCTCTCTGATTACTACCCCAGGGTCCTTGTCCACATGAGCATGAACGATGCAGCCAGGAGTAGTCCAGACTACGTCATGACTGACTACAGAGCTCTGGGGGCCAGGCTTAGGAAGCTGGGGGCACAAGTGGTCTTCTTGTCCATCCTTCCGGTTAGCAGTCTCCATCAGCATCAGGACACCTGCATCAGGGAAGTCAACCTGCAGCTCCAGAGTTGGTGCCATCATGTGGGTTTTGGCTTCTAGGACCACTATCCGCACTTCCATAACAGTTATCCTGGGAAAAATGGTCTTCATCTCTCTTCTAAAGGTAAGAGTCTGTTCTCTTACAGGTTGGCTGATCGCCTCAGAAGGGCTTTAAACTAGGTTCATAAGGGGACAGGGAAGCGGAGGATAAGGAGAACCTAGGATCAGCGAGGCATGAGGAATGCATTGGATCTGTCCAGGTAAGCACTAAAGTAAGCAATAAGGGGCCCAATAAACATCAGGACAGGAGAGTACCACACCCATCATGGGGCATAAATGTCTCCGCACTAATGCTGGGAGCATGGGGAACAAGCAGAAGGAACTTGCACTCCTGCTTGCAAGGAACTTCAACCTGGTTTGACTAACTGAAACCTGGTGAGACCCTACTCACGATTGGACAGTAGGCATTGAGGGTTACAGGTTGTACAGATGAGATAAAGTGGGGGGTAAAGGGGAGGATTGTTTTTGTCTATGTTAAGGAACAATATACACCCTCTATAATCAAGATGGGATCAGAGGAGAGCCAAACCGAGGTACCGTGGGTCAGGATACAAGGGGTCCAGGGAGAAAGGGACTTGGTAGTGGAGGTCTGCTACAGACCGCCACACCAGGAGAATGAGCTAGACCTGGAATTCTCCAGACAGCTCTCAGAGCCCTACGGTCAAGAGATATGGTTGTTATGGGTGACCTAGACCACCCTGACATCTGCTGGGAGGAGCAGTCCACCAAATCTAACCACTCACATAGGTTCTTAACCTGCATACAGGACCTCCACCTAACGCAGGAGGTATACAATCCCACTAGGGGAAATGCCTTGCTGGACTTGGTGTTAGCTACAGGGGATGACCTGGTGGGGAACCTGCAGGTACAAGGTAACCTAGGGAATAGTGACCATCAATTGATTGAATTCACCATCTGGCAAAGGGTGGGTAAACCAAACAGCAGGGCTGAAGTGCTAGACTTCAAAAAGGCTAACTTCAGTGTGCTCAGGAGATTAGTTAGTGAAGCATTATAGCTCAAGAGCACTGGCGAAATGAGGGTCCAGGAAGGGTGGTCATTCCTCAAGGGAGCGATCCTACAGGCACAGGAGACAATCCCATTGCACATAAAAGGGGCCAAGAAGCCCTCTTGGCTGAACAGGGAAGTCCAGGAAAGCCTAAGGGCAAAGAAGGAGGTATACAGGCTGGGGAAACAGAGGGGAACTACCAAGGAAAAGTATACCTCCCTGGCTCACTTGCAGGGAATCATTTAGGAAGGCCAAAACAGGATTAGAATTTAGGATAACAACAAAAATTAAGGACAACAAATAGTACTTCTTCAGGTATATAGGGAGCAAAAGGAAGGCACAGGATAGCATGGGACCCCTACAGCACAAACTAGGGTAATTGGTGACAGAGAGGTGGGGGACAAAGCTGAGCTCTTCAGTGAGTTATGAGTTCTTTGCATCTGTATTCCTAGACACAGACCAAGACAAATCTCCCGACTGGATCATAGATAGACATAGGAGGGACACCAGCCCACCAACTGTTAGCACAGACTTCGTGAAAGGGCACTTGGATGGGCTGGGTGTATTCAAATCAGCTGGCCTGGATGAACTTCATCTAGGGGTGCTCAAGGAATTGGCCAGTGTTATAGCACAGCCACTGGCACGGCTGTTCGAACACTCAGGGTGCTCCCGTCTGGTCTCAGAGGACTGGAAAAGGGCCAGTCTGGTCCTTATTTTCAAGAAGGGGAGGAGGGAGGAACCAGGAAACCAGTTAGGCTCACCTCTATCCTTGGGAAAACTCTGGAAAAAATCATTAAGGATCACATTTGTGGGAGCCCAGCAGGGCAAATAATGCTGAAAGGAAATCAGCATGGGTTCATTGCAGGTTCATTGCCTGACTAACATTGTTTCTTTTTATGACCAGGTCACAAAATGCTTAGACGCAAGAGTCAAGGTACATGTCATCTACCTAGACTTTAAGGCCTTTGATACGATATCACGTTCCATTCTCGTAAATAAACTGACAGGCTGTGATGTAGATGATTACACAGTCAGGTGGGGGGCAAATTGCCTTAGGGATCGCACCCAGAGTGGTGGTGGACGGGTTGATATCAATCTGGAAAGATATGCGCAGTGGAGTCCTGCAAGGCTCCGTTTTTGGACCAGTGCTATTTAATGTCTTCATCAGTGACTTGGAAGAGGGCGTGGAGAGCACCCTGTCCAAGTTCACAGATGATACCAAATTATGGGGCAAAGTTAGCACACCAGAGGGTAGGAAACGCATCCAGGTGGATCTGGATAAGTTGGAACAATGGGCAGAAAGAAATAGGGTGCCGTTCAACAAAGACTAGTGCAAAGTGCTGCACCTGGGCAAAAAGAACCACCAACACACTTACAGGCTGGGGGATGACCTTCTTAGGAGCACAGCAGCGAAATGGGATCTTGGAGTCATAGCTGACTCCAAGATGAACATGAGTCATCAATGTGACCAAGTGATCAACAAGCCTTTATCATGCATTAGCAGATGCATGATGAACAGGTCCAGGAAGGTGATGCTTCCCCTCTGTGCGGCACTGGCCAGGCCACAGTTGGAATACTGTACCCAGTTTTGGGTGCTGCACTTCAAGAGGGATGTGGAGAATCTCAAGAGGGTCCAGAGGAGGCCACTCTTATGGTCACAGGCCTGCAGGCAAGGCGCTATAAGGAGAGACTGAGGGACCTAGAGCTCTTCAGGCTGCACAAAAGAAGGTTGGGAGATGATCTTATGGCTGCCTGTAAATTCATCAGGGGAGGGCAGTAGGGAATAGGGGATGCTGTATGTACTAGGGTACCCCCTGGAGTAACTAGGAACAATGGCCACAAATTGACAGACAGCAGATTTAGGTTGGACATTAGAAAAAACTTCTTCACAGTAAGGGTTGCCAGAATCTGGAACGGGCTCCAAGGCAGGTGGTGCTCTCCTCTACCTTGGGGGTCTTCAAGAGGAGACTGGACAAGCACCTGGCTGACGTCATCTGACCCCAGCGCTCTATCCTGCC